CAGGGTAGGGGAGCAAGAGTATGAGGCTAGTTAGGATTCTTCAGGTTTTATTCTTTTTGTTATAGCCCTAAGTAGTGTATATGATTTTTGAGAATGAATATATATAAAAATGTACATTGATGTTTGAAATTATAGAATATGTTTATTTATTACTGATAGATGATATTAGATAGTTTTGGTTATTACTTCTTAAAATATTAAATGAATAATTCTTCCAAATTAGATCATGGGGCATCACAAGTGGTGCAAAAGTATGTGTTAGGTAAGATGGAGAAGTTGGGCTTGCCTACATGCAAAGTGACTACACTAGTTTGTGCATAAGCATTTAGAAGACAAAGGTGGTGAAGATGGGTTATGGCTTGTTTTCTTGAGGCATTGTGATTGAGGATGTTTGAGGAGAAGGTTTGAGTGTGACTCATGTAGTTTTTGAGGTAGGTAGTTACCTATGTTGCGTGCAAGTTGTGCAAGAAGATTTGGAAAGCTGTCTTAGGAGGAATATCGAGACATGGGTTTGGGAGTAGTGCTATAGACATCAAAAAGATTTAAGACCTTGGAGTTGATGCCTTTTGGAGATGTGTATCAAATTGTAAAAAAATTGTCCAACTTTTAAATTAAAATATTTTAATTGTGCAAGTGTATTTATGTATGTACACATGCATTTTAAGTATACATATATTTTAACATTTCCATTTCATTTAAACCCAACGTTTTTTAATATTATTATATTTTCTTATGAATGTACTAACTTATCCAAGCAACATGATAGTAGGGCCTAATTCAATTGAAGTGAATTAAGGATGAAGATAAAAAAAAGTATTTTTTTTAGAAGAGAATATTCAACATAAGTGAATAAGATATTTTGATAATTTTTTAGTGAAGATTGTGAGAGTATAATTGATTTCAATGATCTTAGCACCCTAAATGAAAATAATTTTTTTTATTATCATATCAGTAAAATCTAAGTTGTAGAGACTATAAAGAAAATGAAGTGTGGAAAACTAGTGGGACATAATGATATTCTAATAGAGGTTTGAAAATGCTTAGGATATCAGCGAATTTCAAGGCTTACTATACTTCTTAATATTATTTTGAAGACTAAAAAGTTGTCATGTGAGTGGAGGAGTGTGTTGGTTCCTATTTTTAAAAATAAAGGTGATGTGGAAGAGCATGTGGTAATTGTAATGGCCAAATTCTCATTTAAAACTACTGTGTTTCATCTTTTTCATCAACCCCAAGAAACTTAAATTGCTTCTATCTTGTAAATGATTGGTTATAACTATTCGATCATGAATTTGGGTATTCATCGAAATAAATTCATTTCAGTTTAATTTGTCTCATAATCATAATATACATATCTTCTATTTTAAGCATATATTCGTTAATTATGTTGTTTTATCTTTTATTAAGTTCTTCACGTAATTTTTTGGTTTATTTTATTCTATTTTGAAAGAGAGACAATAGTAACTCACTAAGGGCTGTTTGGTTGGAATATTTTAGGGTGTAAAGTATTTCAAATGTAGAGATTTTAGAAATTTTGATATTTGGTTTGAAGTAAAAGGAATGCGAAGTAAATTTTCAATGTATTTGGAGTAGACCGGCTATTTTATTTTTAGTGCATTTGAAATTCCTCCTATTTGGGCGATTCTAAATACACCGCAAATGCATTTTTTGTCAGTCACTGCCAGCCACCGCCACCTCTGACTATCTGCCACCTTCACCTACGGCTGCCGCCACCTCTTGCCACCGCCACCTCAAGCCATCACCACCTCCGACCGCCCACCGCTTGCTGCCGACCACTGTTGGCCACTCGGACACAACTTTTTTACACTTTACATTGCATTTACTTTACTTCAATCAAAACAAAAAGAAATAAAGTCATGCATTCCTTTTATAGTGTATTCCTTTTACATTGCATTACTTTTTTAGACAACCAAACTACCCTTAAGTGAAATGCACAAAATAATGGAGGAGAAATATCATAATAGAGTTTTATATATTATTTTTCATTGTAAGAGTGCCGTTATAAAAAAAACTAAGCAAGAGCAAAAATAATCTATGAGATATTTGCATGGTCACACAAAAAGCCCACCTGACCACCTATATGGCATGCATGAGAAAATGACATAAAAATGAGCTGTTTACAATAGATAGTTAAGATGTGATATTGAACTAAAATGCAGATTAGTGAGTATGAATTATGAAATGGTTCTGAGATGAGCTGCTAAAACTTGCTTTATTCTATAGGCACCTCAGGAGCATTATATTTCTTTTCCTTTGACATCACCACCTCAGGAATATGAAATGGTTGTATCATCACCACTGCACTTTCCCCAACTATCCTTTGTACTTAACTTTTATAGAAAGTAGTCCCATGGACACATGAAGCTTAATAACTTTTTCTCAGCAAAAAGGAGTTTAATTAGCATCATATTTAATTGCAATTCGTGAATTAGACAATAATTTTAGTAAACAAATACTGATCTTATAGATTTAAAAATCAAAATTCTAGCTTTAATCTCTTAATGTGGATCTTGGCTTTATCATTGCACATGATATATAAAAATATTTGAACAGCTGAAGTTGTCATGTATGCTTACTAAGGTTTATTATGTGATGATAATCAATACTAGTAGACCACTCTTGTAAAACTGGGGTTTGTGTGTTTTCTTTCTTCCATATAAGGATACATCATATATATATCAAGTATGATTTTCATCTCATCAACAACTTTATAACACCTATTTGAGATCAAATTTATAAATGTTTCTTTTTTAATCATTTATGTTGAGTACAAGATGTTAATTTTATTTTATGCAAATCATTTTGCACAATTTTTTATTTTTTTCATAATTTTCTTATAATAATTATTTTATTGTCTTTAGGATTTAGCGCATATTCATCTCCTTTATATATGCCCAAATTATCTGAAGCCTATTTTTTTATTATTTTTTCTTCCTAAGGTGCCATCCTCTCATCTCTAATATATTTATTCTGAATCTTTTTTAGCTTTCTCTATACACCCATCTTCGCATTTATCATTTTATCTAAGTATATGATTGATTTACTGTATTACATGATTATTTCTTCAATTAACCTTACAGTAATGTTTATTCCTCTAGGAAATAACCATTATGGAATGGGAATATCATGACTGTACAGTAGCTAGCTAGCATCTTCAGTTTAATATTTGCTACTTCTGAAAGCTTTAAGAGCGGTTAGTTTACATGGTCAGACAAGAATAGCTAGCTTCTTACTTAGCTTTGTAGTAATCGTATAAGGCGTTCTTTGGCTGAGAACAACACATTGATTCTATTAAGGGCAATGCTTTGAAAATAACTTGATGATTGTCTGGTCAGTTCTTTCTTAGAGTTTGCAAGAAAATGTATTTGAAAGATTCTTGTTTTATAAATAGCTTGGAGAAGTTGTATTTAACAACTTTGCTTCTATGCGCTTATCAGATAATTTATTTTCTTCCATCTTTTAAATAATTTGGAAAACAGATCAAGTAAAGGGCGATTTAATTCAAAAAACTACATTAATTTTCATCTCATTTAGGGTTCCAATATTTCTAATGAGCTTTTGTGTATGTTTTTTTTTATTAATTTTCTTTCAACAATTTCTCTCATTTCTTTTCTTAACTATCAAGTAACTTGCTTTACTTTTATATTAAAACCTGACATTGTTTTAGGTTTTTCTTCATTTGGCTGGAATGGAGGATCCTCTTCTTCTGTTCTACCTATGAGTTAAACATCCCCACTAAATTGACAAATCCCTTAGACTGATAACTTTAAACTGTCCTATATTGAAAATTGTAGAGATGAGGTTTCTTTCTTTCTTGAAGAGGTCATTGTTGGTGTAAAGGATTGGAATCTAACATTGGTTGGATATGATCTTGGAAGATCTTATTCTGGTAAAATTTTTATTTCTATTAAGTGTTTGCGGGTACTAAAAGATAACCTCCATATCCTTGCTCTCTTTAAATTTTTTTTTTTTTTCTCTTTTGCTTCTATTGTGGCATAGATATTGAGAATATATGGAGGCGTTGGTTCATTGAGGGAAAAACCCTTATTCTTAAAAAGTAGGCATGGAGCTTTAAGTTGATTACAAATGATGTCAAGGAGATCTCCATTTAGATCAAACTATTGTTTTTTTCTTATATGTTGTCGGAATTCATAAGGGTATTTCTAAAATGGTTAACAATATTGGATCACATTTGTTTGTTGACAATGTAATTGAGGAAGAAGATAGGATTATCTTTCTTAGGGTAATGGTTTTAATATTGATTGTTTGGAATGTCTTCCTTTTAGAGGTGAGAATAAATATTGAAGGTGGGAGAAAAATGGTTGAAAACATTTAAAAATTTTTTTATTGGCATCTTGAGCCTCCACTCTACTCCTTGATAGACTTTTTAATAACCTCAAATTAATATTTTCCTCATTTCCTAAAAATTGATTAGTTGAGAGTCGCAGCGTTGGGTGGACAACATCGTGGCATTTAGCTCTGCAGCTTTCTAGAAGTTTAGGATGTCTTGCGATGTTGGGTCATTAAATTCATTTGTAA